TTAAATCTCTTGTGAGGATATATTATATATTTTATCTATCTTGAAACCTAAATAGAAGCTGTAAGAAGTGTGTGTCTCACTAACACAGTTATACTGGGCACCTTTCATGAAAAGGGCATCCACATGAATATGCTGCTCCCTGCCAATGGCAGGAACTCCTTTTCAGCAGACAAGCACTCCATGAGCTTTTCTTTTGCTTTGTGAACTAGTAGAAAACCAAGAAGAGAGATTAATATGAAAAATAAGAGGAAGCAGTGCCTAGCATAATTTTGCAATACATGAAATACAAGGGGTTTTATAAAAAATAATTTCTAAACAGTGCCTAGACATAAATGTAGTGTCTCTGTGCTTATTTTTGTGTGTTCCTTAAGAAACATGTGCAGATACACAATGCTTGTGTACCATTACATTTAGGGTTCTCTGGAGACATTTTTTCACTATTCCAACTGTATAGCTTACTAGAGGGATAGTCCTGGGATTATCACAAAGACTGTCTTTCCTTTTATTTTCGCCAGGTCAATTAAGAAACAGTTGGGTTTTTGGGGGTTTTTTATTTGGTTTTTGTTGGGTTTTTTTGTTTTGTTTTCGTTTGTTTGTTTGGGTTTTTTTTGTCTTATGTTAACTCTAGAACTTTTCTTGCCTTTGTGGTATGGTAGTGGTGAACAAACTTGTGTGAGATAAAGCGCAGTGCACTATGGTTACAAAACTTAATTTTTCATGTAGCTGCTGAGAGTGTTAAAATTGCAGAGATATTACCTATCTTAAGGTATGAATTGGGTGATTTGAATGACCTTGTAAAATCTCACTGTTAGAAGCAGTTACCTGAAGGAACCAAATACCCCAAATCCTCTTTGGCTCTGCTTTTCAAAATATAAATTTAACTTAATTTTTTATACTTGCACCATTACCTGTAAATCATTCTAAACCAAATAGTAATTTCTCCAATGGCTTTTTTAGAACGACTGGAAGGAAATGGATTACTGATCTAGAATTATCAAGAACCTTCCATATTTAACTGAAAAGACTCTTAAAATCTCTGTCTCAACAAGACATTTTAATTTCCCGACTTTTAATATTAAATAAACCTAAATAAATAAATATTCAGCATGGTTTGCTGAGGAAATTTTCCAAATATTCTCCTTAATGTTGTTACAAATCACAATGGTATCTTTTTTACTATCTTTTTATTTTATTTCAGAATCATGGTTTGAAAGCACATCTCCTGGATTCTGACATTTACCAGGGGAAGCATGGTGGAACAGTGTTGTAGTGCATGTAATGGATTATAGCATGTGGATTGAATGCACTCCCATTGCTAATGGACATAAAATGCTTGGGACCCAACTGGATTTAGTTCCATTGAACTAGGTGTAAAATGTTCTTTGCATTTTCAGAATCACAAGTTTTACTATGGATCTGCTTCTAAGGTGCTTCACCCCTTGTGGATGAAGAAATCCTCAAGCATTTTTGGCTAGAAGGGTACAAACCTAATGTGGAAACCTAGTATAAATGTGACTCCCTTGGAGCAGAAAGTAAGAAGCTTAGAAACACAAGCAAAATTAGTATTTAGTTGCTAATTGCATTCTTGGTTACTAATGTAATAATTCTGACAGTGGGGGGAAAATGGTGTTGTTTATTAATGACTTTGTTCACAGTTGATTTTGTATGCACAAATACAGCTTGCACCTTCATATTATTCCTACATTTGACAATTATTATTTTTTTCAAAGATGACCCTAGATTATTCCCTAATTATTCTTGTTTTGCCATTTGTATAGGGTTTTTTTAAAGATTTATTGACCATACATATGCACATTCTAGTTCACAACTCAATTTCAATAAAAATTTTGTGTCACTCTTAAGGTTGGTGATTTCTTCTTACGAGACATTCCTCAGTATGCTGAATTTTCCAAGCTGTCCTGAGACTAATTTTAGTTTTAACAGTGATCCTTAGTTCATACATATGTATTGTTGTGCCTGTAAGAGCTGCTCATTTGTCGAAAAGGTGCATCAGTAGAGATGAAGCAAAACAAGGACAGCCTGAAACAGCAGCAACAGATAACAGGTGAGGACATCACATTATTTTATTACCTAGAGCTGTGTGTCAACCCATAACAAAGAAATCACAACAGTGTACTGAAATGCTGTTTTGTATAAAGGCTGAGAGAGATGTACTGAATAGTAAACTTTGAATAAGAATTAGTCCTCTGACTATTTAGTCCCAGAAGGTGATAGAAAACAGAAGACTAAAAACCCTGCAAAGTAGGATTTTATAATTTTGCATGTGTATGAATTCTGCTAGCCTAGCTACAGCCAAGGGCTTTTTAATCTTCTCTCTGGAGGATACTTTGAGAATTTACCAAATAAGCATTATGCTGTGGCAGGAAGGGAAAAGGTGTTCATGTATGGGTATGAGAAGGCAGACAAATGAAAGAAATTGCAAAATCAAGCTACAATGAGCAATGTTAGCATCAGGATGTGTACATATTGCAAACAACTAGGAGATCAGACAGTAATCAACAGCAGTATTGCAAGCTGCAACGTAGAATTCCACAGACTCTTAGTTCCTTGGGAATACAAATGTATCAAGTTGAATTTTCTTCTTCTATGACCTGGTAAATATAATATCCCTCCCTTGCTGTATCTTCTCTGCACTCACACGAAGACATGTCCATACATACACTCATTATCTACATGTGTAACTCTATTGTACTTGAAACCAATTCCTTCCAGAACAGCTTCCTTGCTGCATCACATTTGCAAGTAGAGTTTCAGCCATTTACACATCTCAAAGGTACTCACAGAGTCTATTCTTTTGCTGAGTAGGAAGTCTTCAGCAAAGGTTTACAAGGAGGGTCTAGCAGAATTTTAAGAGTTCATTGGGATTTCTTTCCCCTAACCATTATGTGGGAGACACAGCCAAGATGTTCAGACTGCCTGATTCTGTCTCAGTCCTGGTACTGAGCTCTTGAGGCATCTGTGATCCTCAGGGGTGCAGCAGCAGTTCCTGCAGCAGGCTAACTTGTAAAACAAAGGGAGTTTTTCTGAGCAAGCTTATCTGCATTAACGACACTAGATTCCAGATAGCTGCAGTGCATCAACAATTCAAACTAAAAGAATAACAGTAGCTGAGCAGAACAAACTTCCAACTGTGAAGCAATTATAGTGCTGTTGAATGGCTGATTGCTTGTGTGTGGTCCCTTCAGTTCCCTGATGCAGTGTGCTTATAGTTTTGCAATTGGATAAAATAGATTGGAATGAGTGCTGTCATACAGATCTGCCAGCTGTTCCACTGTTAATAAAGACACTATTTAGCTATTAATATGTCCCATTCTCTTCTGCTGTGCTTATTCAAACAAAGTAGTACTGTTTGTAGAGAGGGTGTGACTGCACCTGTTCTGGATTCAGGAATCCGTGGCCCATGAGAGACCCCTTGATACTCTCCAGTAACAATGCCAACTTCCAGCTAGAGCACCATGCAAAGACCAGACAGAATGGGCATGCTTTTCTGGCAGATTTGGCAGACAGTGTCCTAAAAACATACAGGCCTTGGAATTAGCTTCCTACTGCTTATGCTTTACAGTTGGCCTTTATGTAAGGCTCCTTCATCAGCACTCCAGTTTTATTTTTTCATTCTTCATAGGCACAAAGAAAAAGTGCTAAAATAAGCATAACATGAGGGCTATGACTTAAATCATACTTTGTATTTGATTTTACCGGAGAATTGTCTTGATTCTTTGCAATTTGAGGGAATGGAAGAAAAGGGCCACGTCTTACTCTGGCCTAAGACCATTGCTCTCAGCTAACTTTCATTGAAAGAGATTACTTTTCAGAATATGTGGAAGCTTCCCAAGAAAGTATACATTCTTGTGTTGGTAAAGCTAAACTGATGCTAAACCTGGCTTAAAAAAATCCATATGGGGAGGGCCCTAAAAATTTATTGTAACTAATTAGCATTGGCAGTGCTTTTTTAGTATGTCTAGATGCTAGAGGAAGGTTGCAGGTGACTCATGATAACTTTAAGACCTTCGTTTGGCTTCACTAGTGACTTGCAATATGAGCTTGAGTAAATTACTTCTTTTTTCTTTAGCAAAAGATGTTACTGTTATCATCAAGTTCAGTTGTGGGAAATGTTCACCATAACTGCCAATGGTGGCTGCCTGGATTATAGATAGCAAGCATGTTTTATTGGCCTTCTTTGGCATTGATTTAAGGCAATGATGAATCCTCTGAAAATCCCCTGCCTTATTTAGACAGTGAGACTGGAATAGTGTGAGAAGCTATCTCTCTAATATAATCCCATTTCTAAAGCTAATTTGTAGCATATTAAAGCAAATAGCTCTATTAATTTTAATTAATGAGTAATGATGTGTAATGTAATAACTGCAGACTAAATATCAGTCCAGACTTTGGATCTATGACCAGCTGTGATAAAAGGTGTGAAAGAACTGCTTCTTGGCCTTATGCAAGATGTTGAAAGTGGGCGGAGGGGGGGAAGTCACCACGAAAAGTAGTACTGATAGATTAGAGCACACTGACAAAGGGTTTTTGAAATAATGTTTGTTGATTAAATAAAATACCAGTAAAGAGACAAAGAGACACTGCTCAATTATTGTATATTTTCTTTATGTCTGGACCCAAGTTTCAACTGCAAACCTAAATACATTAACCCTCTGAGTAACCCAAATATTACTATCTTCCAAGTAATCAATTTTGGGATTCCAAGAAAACTAAACTGTCTTAAAATTCACTTCTAACTGAAGCTTAAAATGATTTCTTTTTAAGTGTAAAGATTAGAGAAAGGATTTTAAAAATATTTGTACTTTCCTACAATAATTTTTTTCAAATTAATAAAAAAAAATTACATTCCTACAGTAAAAGTACTTCACTCTTTTGAAGCAGGTTTTTAAATTAAAACATGTATTTTCTCAAGATAGTGTTTAAAAATTAAGTAAAAAATATTGTTTGTAACAAACAGTAAGAATTTAGGTATAGCGTACCTGTTACTTGCCCCAAGAGCTATATACCTGCTTGGTGCTCCTGTTTTCTTTAAACTCCACAGGAAAATACAAACAGCAAATGCAACAACCTGTAGGTTGACGAAAAGAAAAAGAGAAAAGAAAGAGGATGGTAAACTAAATGAGCTAAATATAAATAAAACAAACACAAACATGAGCTCTTTTCCTGCAGAAGAAAGCAAGCACTTGAATTTATCATCCAGTACAATTTGATTAAACATGCCACTGTTTACAAATACAGTGTATCAGTTCACTTGTTGGGGTTTACATTATTGATGTGCTTTTTTTGTTAAACTAGGTCAGAGAAATATTTAAACAAAGGCATTTTGTAATACGAATAAAGAGACAAAAAAATTAAAGGAATCTGTGCTGATGACTTATGAAGGTTACATTAAACACATTTATTCTTAGTTGCAGATTGCCCTTATGTGTGAGTCTCACAGTGTAACTCCAGGCTCCATTCTGCTCTTGTTAATTAGCTTTTGTTTGATGTAAATGCTTTGACTTTCTGGAATTACTCCTAATACATAGCAATGTAAGAAGGAAGAGTTCAACACATGAATTTTTTTCCTATATCTATAACTTGTCAAAAGATAACAGCTGAAGTATATTATCATCTCCAAAGACCTGAAGCAAATATTTGTAAATGTTAATATCCTGAGAGAACATGAGATTTTACTTTTCCTGGAGGCATTTGTTTGTAACATTGACACATAATATTAAACCCCACTGTGAATGATAAAATGACATTCACAAATTCTGACTTTCTGCATGTTTTCTTACAGAATTGGCACTGAGATGATGGATGAACCACCTGTCATAAAACATCTAGGATTAATCTTTAAAAAGGATCTAAACCTATTCCAGCTGATGTTATTGCAAATCCTTTGATTACCTTGAAAGTGAGCAGGAATGGGCTACAACTGAGAGTTTCCCTTTTAATGTTAACCTGACTACAAAATCTTCAGAGGACCCCAGTGGATTTCACCCTATGCACTTAGCTAAATTGCACAGCATCAGGCTCCAGTGTTCAGTCCCGTCACTCTGTGTACTTGGGAGCCCAATGAATCGCTCCAGAGTAGCAAAACAGGACAAGGCACAACTGAATTCCAGCAACAAAACCAATTCCAGGATATAACCATAGGTAAAATAAAATTTAATTTGTAATTAACTGTACCTTTTCATTCAATGAAGAATGGTCTTATGTGCGATGTGAGAAAAGGAGAATCTGAAGATAGCCCCTTGGTTTTTACTGATGTGAAGTTTAACATTTAATGGATCCTCATTAACAGCAAGAATTTCAACCCATACACTGGCATGGAGGGTGAACTAGGGACAGCATGTAAACTGTTTTAATCTCAAGCCGGTAATCCTATATGTCTTCTGTTTTGCCTGACTTTAATTCAAAAATGCATCCATCTTGTTTAATCTTTCTTGTTGCACCTCCTCCTTCATATCTGGAGATGACTGAACTATTCATCATGAGCCGCTTGCCAGATACACAAAAATAAGATTTTGTTCAGTGACTTAAAAGCCAGGAATCTCTAAAAGTGACCCAAACATTTTCAAATCTAATTCACGACCTCATGATTCTGGTCTCTAAGTGCTCACATCATACTTAAAAACAGGACTTTATTTTTACACCATCTTATTTCTTACTTCATGATAGCACCTGAGTGCCAAGCTTAGTTTTTATTCATTTTTCCACTTCTCATAATTCATTGACAATATATGCCTTTAATACCTGTCATATTGGAAGGGGTATTATGAATTGTTCATGTATGGTATTCTTTTCTACATCTACATTTAGTCACCTCTCTTTTCTGATGCAGATTTTTAAATTCTTTAAAGTGGCAGTAAGTTGAAGGAGAAATCACCTGGGTTTGCATTTCCCAGTTAGAGGATTTTGAGGATTTGTCAGAAGGAGAGAAAAATTTAAAAAATACATGTGAAAAAACATGATAGAAAAACCTTTTCCTGTAAACATTTATTTCTGTTGCCTGTTTTTCTGAAATCTGGAATTCCTGAAATTTAAAATACCTGAGGTCATTACATGTCAAGGGAGGGAGGAAGATATAAGCCTGATTTATTTTCTGTCTAGAAGACTTCACTTTCAATTTTCCCTTGTCATATTTCCAATGAGCAATTGGCCACCCTAAATACAGGATGTCCAGGTAGGTAGTTTCAGCATCTGTACACTCATTTGTCTGATAAAGATGAATTTTGTCTAATAAAGAATGTCTAAATGTTCTTTCTTGAGTACTTAGGTGTACTCAATCAAAAATTACAACCTAAGTCCTCTTGAGAAGTAATAATAATAATAATAATAATAATAATAATAATTTGTAAATAAAAATTACTAGATGAGTGACCAAAATATAACTCAAAAATTCCAGATCCAAGTTTGACTTCACAAGTCTCTGTGTTGTAGTTTGAGCTTTAACCATTTTTTTCCTTCTATCAATGAGCACTTTTCTCTGTTTCTTACTCTTAACCAAGTGGGGTCAGATAGGCCCTCAGATTTTTGATTTCACCACCACTACCCCCACCCAGACCTTCAACTCATGTAATAAAAAAAAAAAAAAAAACCAATCAGACAATACCCAAGAGCAAATAATAGAGATATTTGCTTTGATATTTTGATCTTTTGGGGGTTTCCATTTACTTTATACATTTTTGTTTCTTTTCTACCTCTCCACTGATAACGTCTCCTCTGCTAGTTGATTTTCCTGTCCTCTGTAGTATGGTTTGCTGACACTATTATCAGTTCCGTTTTTCACAAATTCATTCAGCACTCATTTACTGCCATTAGTGTCCTTGGGACAGAATACAGCTTCAAACTCCAATCAGCTCCTCTCTCTTTCCTAATTCCTTTATTATATTTATTATATGTAGTTTATTATATGCTTACCCCCTTCCTGTCTCCTTCCTTCCTCCCATTTCTCTTTTTTTTCAACATAATGGATTCTTTAATTTTTATTTGTGCTTTTTGTGACTACCCATCTTATTGAAATACTGACTGAGAAGACATTGAAAGGATGACAAATAGAATGACAAACTTCTATGGAAGTGGTGAAAGTAGCGTGCTAAAAAAACCCCACATATATATCTGCATACATATATATATACTGCATACATACATATATAAGCACATTAGGCGATGAAAGATAGATTGAGTCTGTACATTTTCTATGTATATCTGTGCAGAAAAATTGATTTTTTTTTTTTACTACTGTTGTGGTATTAATGCAGAAGAGGAGTACACACACTCATGCTAACACTTTGTTAGTTATATAGCTCAAGAATAGAGTATGCTCAAGGAAATGTAATGTTGATGATTCAAAATTCTCTGATAGTAACTATATTTGTTCAACCTTTGCATGATCTGCCAAACTAACGTGTTTCTTTATCTTCTGCTGTGCTGTTTCCAAATTGCTCCCATTCATATGATACAAAAGCTTTTAACTATGTTTGACGAGACAAATTTTTAGGGAAGTTATTAAGATAAGAGACCTCTGCAGGGCTAGAAATTACTCAGATTATACACAAAATCTCCTGTGTATGTGTGCTATGATTTTTTTCTTCTCTATTCTCTCTCTTCTTCCCTTTCTTTTCCTCCCTCATCTTTTTCCTGAGAGAGTGTGGGGGTGGGGGATGAGTTTAGGGGTGGAGGGAGATGTTCCTTCAACTAAATGCAATACAGTGCAACAAACCAACACATTGCCACAAGTAATGTATGCCTCTGTCAGTGTGCAATGCAGTTCCACTCATGAGGTTATAAAACACTGAAAATGGAAATGTAGCCTGAGGAAAAGTTTTGCATTCTGAGCTCAAAAGTAATCTCAGAGACAGTGGATATTAAAAAGACAACATACTACTCCTCCCTTTAGAAAAAGACAAGGAAAAGTAGAAGGTATGAAGTCACTGGGCAACCTATCTAGCAGAAATAGATAGTTTATAAAGCTGAACACAACCCTTGAAGGCAGAAAGAACAACGCTTCTGCCGTTATCTTACTGATTTCTTTGTGTTGCGGTACAGGCCAGCAGCATTTGTAAGAGATCTGTTTAGAGCGGTTTAAAAAAAAACAGAAAAGGAAAAAGAATAGAGGAATGAAAAGACCTTTATTCCTTCTCTTTTCAATCTGAAAAGAGGTGAAAAAATAGACCACATTTATGGGGGAAAATGGGCTTTTCTTTCCCTTATCCTGGCCCTAAGTATTACAGGTTTATATAACCTAAGCTAACAGTTCACCAAATCTACTCTGTAGAGAATGGATCATGGATTCTTGTTAAGTTTTTCAGTTTAAAAGAAATTGTAACTTCCAAGACAGTCAGAAAAGCACTGCTAAACATTACCTTTCTAGGCTTCCTGAGCAGGACTGTTTTTCTAGACTGTAAATTAGGGCATATTTTTCTTTCACGTACTAGTATTCAAATAGCCACAGTGAGAATGGGAGGTAACAATAAAAACAACCTTGTAACAGATTTGCTGACAAGAACTGCCCATATCGTCTGTCTTACTGGATTTATATTGAATGTAATGTAAAAATGAATATGTAATATAAAAATTAACATGCAATATCTCTTTAAGATCCAGCAAAGAAACCAGCATGCACATTTACCTCATATAAGAGTATGTGAGATACAGATGAATCTATCTGTACTGAGACAGGTACTATCTCATATATGTGATCAATTTTAGCATGTTGTCTTTTCCAGTATCTCCCTCTGTAATTCTGTTTTCTCTCATGTCAAAACTCCCTACACACTGTACCCACTGTCTGTAATATGGCAATTTAAAGGCGTTTCCTCCAGCTATGCTAATGAAAGGGTTGCAACCAAATTCAGTATTGACATAAATCTATTACAGTTAGCAGAAATACGACTGACCTCATAGCTGAATGTGACAACAAATATTCCAACAGCAGGAACAAGCCAATCTGACAAAATGTGCCACAGCCTAGGGGCTCAAGGGCTCTTAAACATCAATGCCTGTTAAATGTCTGCCAAGGGTCTGGCTACAGAACACAAGATACAGCTAACTGACTTCATTACAGACTGGTTTCATTTT